ATGACTTTTCTGAATTGGTGCTGAGGTTTCTAGAATTGGCTCTGAAATCTGATTAGATTTAAAGATGCTAATAAGTGTATTACCAGTAATAAAGAAAGCACTGATAGTCCATGGCATGATCTGGCAATGGAGATATGCAAACTATTGGACACTCCTATCAACCACTGATAAGAAGCAAGGAGCTGGGTAACTGCATAGGATGCTTTTGAACATTTTTGGAAAACTAATTAATATAATGAGATTGGCTGGTTACTCTTATTGTCACTGGACAAAGTGGTGAGATAAAATGAGGAGCTCAGGGATTTGAATTCCTGTGAGCCCTGAGGGAGAGGCACGCACAGAAGCTGAGACAAACAGTGAAAACTAAGAATTCAACAGAAGCAGGAAATACGAAGATGAAGACCACTAAGCAAATTAGTAGCCCAAGTTGCTCCCTTTGTATCCACTTCCCCCTTCCAAGACATATCTGGGACAGAAACAGGGTTTTATCATCATTCATGGGATAAGATCTAGAGCTATTATTATTTATAATTTAAAGAGCAAGAGAAAACGAGAAGACTTGAGGACCCCTGAGCAGGTGACATCTGGTTATACTAGTTGACTGCTCCTGTTGTATCTAGGATACGGATATGGATCTTTAAAAGGGGGCAGATTTTGCAACACAGAGAAAAATGAGAAACTTAAAAATAAAATTGAGCATCAGCTGCAGGAAGAGAAGAATAAGAGAAAGAGCACAGAGAGCCTTTCTTGGAGCGATCTAGCTGGGGAGTCAGACGAGAGCTGTGAGGAGGAGAGGCCATTATCCCACTGACTGCGAACCACAGAACTCTGACCGCTTGGATCATCATAACTTCCCTGCAATAGCTAGCAATAAGAAGCTTGAAATAAGAGCTTGACTTGGGAACACTGAGGAATTCAGGGATATTATACATTATTCTACAAGCCACCTGAAGGCCAGAGTAATTCTTATAAAGAGTAGGTTTTGGCAGATTAGAAAATACGAAGAAACCTGAGGATATGGGAAGAAAGGAAAGTGGTGCACAAATAAGTGTTATCTGTGAATTGATGGGCCTTAGTTTACTAGCAGAAGACTATGATGATCCACAGCCTCCCTGAAATGGAGAAATGAGGTAGAATAACTTCTCGACTAACTCATTGTGACATGTCCAATGTCCTTATCGCCAAGCTCATAAAAATAAATAGGACATTTAGCTGATAAAGAGCCAACCAAAATGAACTTTGGAAATAATGTGGACCTAAAGCAAAACAAAACACCTGACCATCCTGATTAAAAATGGTAATAATAATAGAAATATACTCAATGCTATTATTTTTATTATTACAATTTATTTAACATCCACTCCATGCCAAATACTTTAGAATTCACTCACAATAACCCTACAAGGTAATAATTATTATTTTCTACTTTTGGATAAGAAATGCAATATTTTAATACACATATAAGTTAATATGAATATGTAAGTTAATATATCACTTAGTCAAGGCCCCATAACTAATAAATAAAGGGAGGACTTGGGATGAATTTTAGGTTTTTATGTTCCAAAGACTGAGTCTTCTGCTGCAAACTAATTCTCCAGAATTTGTTTGCATAAATTAAAGCATAATAAAAACTTAAGGTTATCTTTTCTTTTTACCATTTGTCTGATACTAGCTATTACAACATTGTTCTAGTCATGGAGAGAGAGAGAGAGAGAGAGAGAAAGAGAGAGAGAGAGAGAGAAAGAAACTGGACAAGGTCCAGGGGAAAGCTAAAAACATGAGTGATGAAGATGAAATTGTATGTTATAAAATATTTGAAATAGAGTTTGCTTAACTCAGAGAACACTAACCCAACATCAGAGGATTTTCATAAAGGATGGTCACCATTAGGATTCTATGTCCACAGTGAATTAAATGAGGGAAGGTAAATTCAGAGAAAAGAAATCATAAGGGGAGTGGTTTTTAAAAACGTTCTAACTGGCAGGTGGCTAGAGGCTGTCACTCAGGATTTTCCATTTAGGAAGGCCTGATCTTATCAGGAAACAATAGAGGATGATAAAGTAAAGTGTATAAATGGACACAATTCTTCCCCTCCCTTCATCTATGTCCTTGCAATATGACAGTACAGATCCTCTCATGAAGATATGGAGTCTATTTCCTTACCCTTTTTTTTTTAGAACACACTTTATTTTTATGTTTACTATAAATATGTCTCTTCATAGAGTAATTGAATTGATTTTTTTTTAGTAAGCCATAGTAAAAATTATATAATAAGAGAAATTTTAAACTTCAAAGTATTCTCCCTGGGAATTCATACATTTATTCTAAATAATGCTGCTATTTTTCAAACTGCATTTAGAATCACTCTTGAGATTTTTTTAATACTATTTTATCTGCAACACAAGAAATTGTATCGTTTCATGTTATAATTAAATCACACATTTTAGAAACCAAATGCCATATTATCCAGCTTTATCATTCTATCTTCATGTCCAATTCTGGCTATGAAATATTTTTTATTGTTATTAAAAAGAAAATAAAAACACAGTCAAAAGATTAAGATTTCACTGAATGGAGGGTATCTTGATAAGTGAATAAATGAATGAAATACTAAGTGAATTCAAAAGTATATACTTTCAGTTTAGAAGATAATTTTAAGAGTTTTAAACTAATAAACCTCAGCATCAAAAGAATAATTTTGCATCCTCTGTACTTAGCCACCTAAGATGGGACTAGACTCATTTGCAAGAATAAGAGTTTTTATGCTTCTTCAAAAAACATCAGATCTTTCCTACATTTTATTCTAGCATGTTTGAAGCTTTACTTTTCACATTTCCACCTTTATATACTTGAAATAAGTTTTTGTGTATAATGTAAAGAATAAATCCAATTTTCCCCATATATGGGAAACCAATAAAAAAAATCAGATAGCTGTATAGCCATACTGTATAAATAGAAAACCGTGCTATATCCATAAAAATGAGTATAATGGCATGTCCTTTTACCAAAAGGAAGTAATTATATTGAGTAGCAAGTAATTATTTTAGTGAAAAATACAATTGCTTTTTCAATTTTATTCCATTCTAGAATTTTAGCTGAAGGAGATCTTAGAGACCATTTAGTCCAACCCATTCATTACTTCATAGGAGAGGGAAATGTGGCACAGAGAAGCCAGAAGCTGGATGACTTGCCTAAGTTTCCACAGTCATAGGTCTAATACTAGAATTGATCATTGATATGAAGTTCTCTCCATTACATCCTGGTGCAACTTTAACACGATTCATTTCATAGGAAACTTATATAGTATAAGGCAATTTTTAAATGTTAAATTATAGAATATGTTATTGTGTCTTTTGTGGACTTTAAAAAGATAAAGTACCACTGTTAACTTTGTTTCACATGCAAAAAACACTGTACTTTTTAAAAGTCACATGTGGGTGATTCAGAAATGTGGAAATGTAGACTTTTAAGGAAATTCAAGTTTCTTTTCCTCAGTCACACTGTTTTATTATTTTGCTTAACTAAACAGTGAAATCAGAGTGGTCATTTCTCAATCTATTCCATTTTTCACCTTGACACTAATACTTGCTGAGGGCTTTTCACTTATTTATTTGTTTTCATAGCCAGTATTTTTACTCTGTTTCCTTGGGGGATTTTTACAAAATATTTTAGAAAACCTTTATTTCTTTTGCATCTTCTGGTTGACCACCTTTTAGAAAAACATATTTCAAACACTCAAAGTCCTGAGAAAATACAAATTCTTATTTTTTGAATTGTGAACATATTAATTCCACTATAATTCAACAAATTCTTAATATTATTTTTGTATAAAACATGTTTATAGAAGACTTCCTTAGGATGATAAAGTATATTTAGTATTTGTATTCAATTGTTATTCTGTTGAATCTTGATTACTAGATAGACTGAGTATTCCACACTTGTCCCTTTTCATCACGAACCTCAACCTTAAGTTTCCAAAGCTCAAACTTTTGCGAAGTGACCTTGAAATACCTTTTCACATTGGGTGTACTGCCTTTCTACATAAATTGACCTTGCGATATGGAGGGGTGAGAGTTAGTGAGAGTATAGGAGAACTGCTTCACTGAAACCCCAACCATAGTCTTCAAAAATATATCGTCACATCCACAGAGGGAAAACTAAGGGAAGCACATCATCTTTGGTAGACACATCAGTAGGCTGAACATGACTGAGGGAAGAATCAGTGAACTTAAGGATGTGCCAATAGAAGTTCCTTGTTAAATCAAGAAAACAAGAACTGTCCAGCTGTCCGAAGGTCATAGTTAAATATTTTTGGTGTCCTCAATATTGTTCTCACAATTAGGTCATGCTGATGAATACGTTCTTGGGTTCCAGTGGAGGGACGGTGAATGTCAGAGGCGTACGGCGGACAGGCTGAGGTATGTGGCTTCCCGGTGAGAGACAGAGGACAGTTGGCATTGTGTGCAGGCCCTCCTCCTATGTAGCCACTATTTTCTCACCCTTTGGATCTGCATTGTCCATGCAATTTGCTTAGGTTAACGGTACATTAGCACACATGATTCAGCAGTTTTGAAAAACATTCGTGAATCAGAGGAGAGCCAATTGTCTGCCAACTGCCAGATACATGATTGAGGCCATACTAAATCATCTAGCTCTGGCCACTTCCCCAGTTAACCGCAGACGCATGAGAAAACCTGGAAGAGAAGAGCTGGGCTCAACCAGAACAGTGGAACCCCCCATATGATCCACAGAATTGTGAGCAAAATCAAATGGTGTTTGGTTGAAGCCACTAAGTTTAGGTGTGGCTTCACGGCTAAAGCTAATTAAATCAGATGGCAAAAACAACAAAAGTGACAGGCTACATAGACACTATGTCTACTTCAAGCAGCGGCTAATTAATGTTATGGCCTGTGGGGTCTCTACCTGCCTGAAGACAGAGAACCAGAACAAATGTTCAAAATACTCATTTATTTGGGACTTGAAATGTCTTTATAGATCATCTAGTCTAAGCTGATCAAGGCACATATACGGAAGCTGAAACCAAGAGAGGGGGATTGAGTTTCCCAAGGTCACAGTGAGTTTTTGACTGAACCAGGGCTACCAGTCAGGTTCTCTCATCCCTTTACTCACTCACCTTCTTGAGTCCTTGACTAGTCCAGAGGTTCCATGGCTCTGTGACTCTATGATTCTATAATTCTAAGATGCAGCACAACAATGCCAGTGCTCCACGCAGCCTTGGTGCAGGAGAAGAACATGGTCTAGACTGAAGTACCAACTAAACCATCTTTTCACTTCAAAGCACCAACTACGCCATCATGGATTCAAACACTGAGCGCCATCCTGTGTTTCTAATATTTCCTCCAGAGGTTACTGTTCCCAAATTTCAGTCCATGGACTACGGAGCTACCACCTATGAGTCTAGCATTCCCTTTCCAAAATTCCTTGCTACAAACGTGAAAATCTTTGGGGTAAGTAAGATATGCCCCAATGCAAATTCTACTGAGGGTGTGTTATAGGTGTAATGTTTGTGTTTCCCCAAATTCATATTTGAAACCATAATCCCAACGTGGTAGTATCTGAAGGTGGGGTCTTTGGGGAGTAATGACTTCATGATGGTGGGACCTTCATGAATGGGATTAGTGCCCTAAGGGGTCAGAGAGTTAGCTAGTTCTCTTTTCATGTGAGGATAGGACAGAGAAGTCGGCAGTCTGCAATCCAGACGAGGGTCTTCACCAGAATCTGACCATTCTGGCACCCTGATCTCAGTCTTTTAGCCTCCAGAACTGTGAGGAATAAATTTATATTGTTTATAAGTCACCCAGTCAATGTTACTTTCTTATAGCAGCTCAAACGAACAAAGACAGAAACTGGTACCGAGAAGTGGGGTGCTGCTGTAACAAACACTTAAAAATGTGGAAGCAGCCTTGAAGCCGGGTAATGGCTAGAGACTAGAAGAGTTTTTAGGATCATGTTAGAAGAAGCTAATATTGTGATGAAGGGGCTTGTAAAGGCAATTTTAGTGAGAGCTCAGAAAGAAAAGAGGAGTGCCGTAGACAAAGGCACCATCTTAGAGAATACCCAAGTCATCCTGGACAGAATGATGGTAGAAATATGGATAGGGCAGGCCATTCTGGTGAGGTGTCAGATGAAAATGAGGAACATGTTATTGGACACTGGAGAAAAGGAGATCCTTTTTATAAAGTGGCAAAGAACTTGGCAGAACTGTGTTTGTGCTCTAGTGTTTTGTGGAAGGGAGAACTTGCAAGCCATGAAATTGTATATTTAGCTGAGGAGGTTTCTAAACAAAGTGTTGAACAATTGGCTTGGTTCTTCCTGACTACTTACAGTAAAATGCAAGAAGAGAAAAATGACTTGAATACAGAATTATTAAGCAAAAGTTAATTAGAACTTAAAGATTTGGAAAATTCTCAGCCTAGCCATATTGCAAAAACTGAGAAAGAGTGTTAGGAAGGGAGCATGAGGGGTGTGGCCAAAGAGCCTTTTAATTAGGAGGTTAGTGTGGGTGCGAACCAAGAACTAAAATCAGCCACCCCACAGGCAAACTGTCAGTTTGAAGTAAAGGGGAAGAGGACAGAAGGAAAGCTGTCAGATTGCTTGGATTTTACAGAATGAGGCAGTAGAGCTATCGGGCCGTGAATGCACATTGTTCTTTAAGACAAGGGAAGAAGAACGCTAAAGGTGATTCAGGCATCATCAAGGCCACCACCAGGGTTTCAAGAGGCCAGACGACCTCTGCTAAAAGCCACAGAGGAAGAGCCACCAGAACCCATGTGGACTGGGCCGGCCAGAGCCTATGGACCCAACCTCTGTCCAGTGTAGCTGTAGGAACAAGACCACTACCCCACTGGGTCCTGAAAGAAAGACCACCATCCCATTGGATCCAGAGGGCAGAACATCAAGCCATAAAGGATTATTCTGAAGCCTTAAGACCTAGTGGAATTTGCATTGGTTGGGACCCATCACCCCTTCTTTCTTTCCGATTTCTCTCTTTTGGAATAGCAATGTCTATTCTTTTTTTATTATTATTATTGTTACTTTCAGGAGTACAGAACAATGCAATAGTTATCCTTTTCACCCTCACAAAGTAACAACCCCCCTCTCCCCATCGATTGCCCTCCCCCCCCCGATATCATGCTTATCTATTACAATTCCATTGACTCCATTCCCACTCTCTACTCCATGTCCCGTGACTATATGTATATATAATTATAGTTGACATACAATATTATTCAACATCAGCTTCAGAAATACAGTGTGGTGGTCAGTCCTCTACACCGACTATGAAGTGGTCTCCCCCACAAGACATGAGTCCATCTGGCCCCCTAAGAAATATTTACAACATTATTGATTATATTCCCCAGACTGTCTTTTTCTATCCCTGAGGCCATATTTTACCAATTTGTTACCAATTTGTATTGTCTCATCCCTTCCTCTTCTCCCTCATCCCCACCCCCTCCCAACTAGCAACCCTCAGTTTTTCCTCTGTGTCTCTATGCCTGTGCTGCCATTGTATTTTGGAAGCACATAACTGGAGCAGCGGTTCTCAACCTTCCTAATGCCACGACCCCTTAATACAGTTCCTCATGTTGTGGTGACCCCCAACCATCAAATTATTTTCATTGCTACTCTATAACTGTAATTTTTCTACTGTTATGAATCATAATGTAAATATCATTTTGTTTTCCGTCTTAGGTGACCCCTGTGAAAGGGTTGTTCGACCCCCAAAGGGGTCGTGACCCACAGGTTGAGAACCGCTGCTTCAGAGGTTCACAGCTGGAGAGGAATTTGCCTCAGGATGAATCGTACCTCAAGCCTGACTCAATATCTGATTTAGATGACATTTAGATGAGCCTTTGGACTCTAACTTTAAAGTTGATGCTGAAATAAGATATGACTTTGGGGCTGTTATGACAGAATGAAAATATTTTCTGTGTGAGAAGGACATGAATTTTGGGGGACTAGGGGCAGAATGTTATGGACTACATGTTTGTGGTCCACCCAATTCATGTGTGGAAACCCTAATCCTAATACGATGGTATTTGGAGATGGTCTTTTGGGGAATAATTAGATCATCAGGGTAGAGTTCTCAGGACTGGGATTAGTGCCCTTCTAAGAGGCCACAGGGCGAGCTAGCTCTCTGTCCACCACGTGAGGATACGACAGAGTTCAGTCTGCTGCTGGAAGCGGTCTCTCACAAGAACCCAACCTTGCTGGCACCTTGTTCTCAGACTTCCAGCCTCCAGAAGCAAGAGAAATAAATTTCTGTTGCTTATAGCCTACCCAGTCTATGCCACTTTGTTATAGAAGCATAAACTAAGACAGGGGACAAGGGGAGATAGAAAGGGAAAAATATCTGATGGCATAATAGTGGATACTTGTTACACATTTCCCAAAACCCATAGAATGTGCAACACAGAGAAAGAAGAGAAAGGGTTAAAGGGAGAAAAGTGAACTCGTTTTTGGACATATTGAATATAAGGTAACTGTGGGACATTCAAGTAGGGATGTTTGTCAGGAGCTAAAAATGTGGGTCTGGAGCTGAGGAAACTAATATCGTTTATAGCTCACCTACTAACAGGAAATAGTTGCTATAAAAGTCAATGAGATTAGTCAGACTGAGAAAGGTGGGCTGGGAATGAAAGAGAGCAGAGGATAGACTCATACATTCCACACCTTCCATTCTTCACGTCATTCTCATCCATCTCCCCTAGCATTCATCAAACCACTGCTTGGCATTGTAGTGCATCACAGGTGTAGAAAGTGCATTTGTAGTGACATGGGAAGAAAAAATAGAAAAGATGGGGAGTGCTCTGAACCCACAGATGTGATAATTCCTCCACGGGCTCAGAGGGTTCATTGTCAACAGAAGGGTTTTCTAACAATCCACTTCTGCTTGAGGCCAGGCTGGTCCAGTGATTTAGAATCCACTGCTTCTCAAACTTTAGCATGTATATGCTAAAGACTTGGAGGTTTCGCCCCAGCTTTATTGAGATGTAGTTGACATCTAACATTGTGTAAATTTAAGGTGTTCAATGTGATGATTTGATATACACATGTATTGCAAAATGTTTACCACAAAAAGTTATCACACCTTTCACCTCACATAATAACAATTCTGCTGTTATAGTGAGAACATTAAAGCGCAACTCTCACAGCCCATTCAAGTATAAGATACAGTATTGTTAACTCTAGTCATCATGCTGTACGTTAGATCCTAAAACTTATAATTGGAAGTTTGTACCCTTTGACCAATCTCTCTCCATTCTGCCCACCACTTTGCCCCTGGCAACCACCATTCTATTCTGTTTCTATGAGTTTGATGTTTTTAGATTCCAAATATAAAGGAAAACATACAATATTTATCTTTCTCTGACTTATTTCACTTAGCATAATGCCCTCTAGGTCCATCTGTGTTGTTGCAAATGGCAGGGTTTCCTTTTCTTTTTATGCTGAATAGTATTTCATTGTATATACACACTACACTTTCTTTATCCTTTCATCCATCAGTGAACACATAGGTTGTTTCCATGTTTTGCCTATTGTCAATAATATTGCACTGAACACCACGACAGTGCAGTTATCTATTCAAGGTAGTGATTCCATTTCCTTTGGATATATAGCCAGAAGTGGGACTGGTGGATCGATCATATAGTAGTTCTAGTTTTAATTTTAACCTGGGGATTCCATTCAGTTAGTATAGGATTGGGCCTGGTAGTTTGCATTTCTAATTCCCAAGTGATCCTACAGCTGCTGACCCATGGACTATATTTTCAGGAGTATTGATTTAGATAGTTTTACCTTTTACCAAATACCAGCTAGAGAGGTATCAAGAAAATGCCTGAGTGCATCATAAAGGGGCTTCTGCTATCCTTCCCTTATTTATAAAACAGGGCAATTGTCAAATCCTTTTACAAAAAGGAGATCTAAGTTGTCGAAAGAACCCACCATTTTGCTTTTTCTTCACCATGTCTTTTTTCCTCTGTTTACAGACTATCCAGATCTTGTTTGGACTGATGAACTTTTCCTTTGGAGTTATTTTTCTTTTCACCTTTGAAAACCCATACCCAAGGTACCCCTTTATATTTGTTACAGGGTATCCATTCTGGAGCTCCATCTTGGTGAGTATAGTCAATCGAGCTCAATTTTAATCCATGCCAACAGGCATATAAGAGAATTCTTAGTTGTAAAATGAGCTACATTCAGCTATATGATAGGCTGTGAAAAGTTAAAATAAAAATCAACCTTGTTGAAATTATTTTCCCTTTAATTCATCAGAGTTACTGACATCCCATATTGTGTCTTGAAGTTCCTTTGGGAATATTTCTTTGGGTCTTGAAGTCATTTATCCATGCATTCATTCAAAGTTAATTACTTTTTATTATAAGCCAGATACATAGGGGAAGGCAATGAGGATCCAAAGTTAATATATGTGGGCCCTCACTATGAAAACCAGTGTGAAGTCACCTCAAAAAATTAAAACTAGAACTACCACATGATCCAGCAATTTCACAGCTGGAAATATATCCAAAGGAAACAAAAGCACTATGTCAAAGAGATATCTGTACCCCCGAGTTCATAGCAGCATTATTTACAATAACCAAAACATGAAAAAAAACCTAAGTGTCCATCTATGGACAAATGGACAAAGAAGTTATGATCTAAATCTAGGTATAATTGGATAGATATAGATATATTAGGTAGATAGATATATAGAAAGATAGATAGAAGATAGATAGATAGATAGATAGATAGATAGATAGATAGATAGTGGAATATTATTCAGCCATAAAAAAGGATACCCTGCCACTTGTGACAACCTGGATGAAACTTGAGAGCATTATGCTAAGTAAAATGAGACAGATTGATAAAGACAAATATTGTATGTTCTCACTTATATGTGGAATCTAAGAAAAGAAAGGAAAGAGAAAGAGACCAGATTTGTGGTTACCAGAGGCAGAGAGTATGAGAAAGATGAAGGTGGATGAAGGTGGTCAAAAGTCACAAACTTCCAGTTATAAGAGAACAGAGTACTGAGGATGCAACCTACAACTCTATACAAGGTGACTACAGTTGACACTGCTATGTGATATGAAATTTTTTTAAGTGAGTATATCTGAAAAGTTCTTCTCGCCACAAGGAGAAATACAGTTTTTTCTTTATTTTTCCTTTTTTGTGTCTATATGGGATGATGGATGTTAACTAAACTTATTGTGGCGATCATTTCATGATCTATGTAAGTCAAATCATGCTGCACACCCTAAACTTATTCAATGGTGTCTGTCAATTGTATCGCAATAAAACTGGGGGGAAAACAAACACCAAACAAACAAAAATAATAATACATGGGCTCTTCCTTCAAATACCTCTCAGTCTAGCAAGAAAGAAAACATGTAAACAGGCCATTTCCAGGCAGTGTGACAAATGGTATCACAGAGATGTACAAAATGCATATGTAAAACAAGATGAAGGATCAATTTACTCTTCAGAGAAGTGAGAAGGCTTCTCAGGCGTACCTTTGAGCTGCACAGAGCACTTTTATTTGACCACATTTAATCACATTCAGTAAACACTATTTTAGTACCTACTTTGGGGCTGGAAAATGGGCAGTGTATAGGGATTCAGAGAAAAGGCAGCCCTCAGCTGAGTGGAGAGTCAGTTACCATGTGGTGCGATACGTGGTGATAGAGGACACACAAACTGCCTCTAGAGGAAAAGCACCTACAAAACAGAGGGCAAGTTGCCCAGAGGCGTCTCCAGCTTGACTGCATTTTAAAGGACGTTAATCAGATGAGGGCATATACAGAGGAAGGGACGAGGGGATGGTTGTGTGTCAGGGTAGGTAGTGGTATCTTGCTGTTTGCCAAAAGAGAAACATGAGGAAAAAGCTTAAGGCAGAGGAGAACACTTTCTATTCTGAGAGCTGTAAGAGTTCAGCGCAGAGACGAAGAGTGGAGGGATGAAGCCGTAGAAACACCAGGCAATGCAACGAGAAATTTAAACGTGGGTGTGCTGTGATCAGATTTGAAGTTTATGCTAGACAATGGTGACACCACAGATGACTCACCGCTGTGAAAATTCTCGGGATGTTTTCAAAATTCTCAGAATATTAGCTCCAACTCTACCTATGTTCCCATCCAAGAGAACACATTGGATTGCAAATGGGGGTGAAAGATGTTTCTTATAAGAATAATGGAATCTGATCATATTGGCTGTAAACTGACTTGACAATAGTGTGTCAGGATATCCAAGCTGAGTCTGCAGTCACTATAAAAGGAAGATGGATAAGAAAACTAAAGCCTAGTGAAGTTAAAAAATAGTGAGGTTAAAAAAAAATTCTCATGTTCAAATAAATAGTTAAGGCTAAAGCAAATTTCTAGTCCAGTATTTTGTTTACTATTCGCTTATGCACAATCACACAAAGCATCTCACCCTTCTCATACCCCTGAGAATTGTGTGAAGTATGAAGTGAATTCTGTAAAAGAAACATGTAAAAGTCTATTCTGTGAGAACTCTTCAATATCAGCTGAACATGTCCGTCACCAAGATATTCTTTTTAACAGTTCATTAATTCTGGAGCCTTCCTAGTCGCATTGGAAAGAAAAACCACAGAAACTCTGGTGAGTTATATTTTTCCCTTTGTTAAAAATTTATAATTTTGAAATAAATAAATCATTCTGGCCTTGGGAATGAATTTGGAAGATCATTAAGCCACTATAATTCCACAAACAGTCAATTACTGATACCAATCAATATTATTTGCTTCTTTTTTTTCATAGAGTCATAAAACATTAGTTCCAGAAGAGAGTTTTCTAGGTCAACTAATATAATTCTGATTTTATAGATTTTATATTTTATATAATATAATATAAAACTGAGGTATAGAATAAATCACTGTCCAAGTTCCTCAACTCAAAGACAGCACGGGTGTCATTATTTCAGCAACTCATCATTCTTTCTGCAAGTATTTTTAGTGCTGATTTCACAACAGACACTTTGATAAGCAGTAGTTTGACTCAAATGATAGGGACACTATGTAGACAACATAACTACCTTGATAAGCAGCATCTAAAAATAAATAATATAGTGTTAATGACTGCAAAATTTTAACTTATAGATAAATTATAAGTAGGATATTTTTACTTTTCTCAAAGTATTGAAGATATGAGCTATTAATTAATAAGCCAACAAATTTTTTTCAGCAAAGTAAATCTCCTGTAGGTTTGTAGTTTTAGGAAGAAATAAAAAATTGCAAATAAATATAATGTATAGCTAAACAGCCATAAAACCAAAATGTAAATAGGTCATGACTTTTACCTGAGCATCAAAATGCAGTGCAGTGCTACCCCTGAGAAGCTTCATTTGTCCAGTGTGTACCCCTCCCCCAATTAAATGGGATTTAACGCAGGCACAGTGTATGGGGGATGGGAGGATTATTAAAAGTCCATTGGATCCTCTCATTCTGTAGATGAGAGCCTGAAGCCCGAGGAGGTGAAGCAACACACATGAGATGACACAGCTGTTTCGTGACATTGCGGTGCTGTGACTAAAATCCTGCTTTCCAGCCACCCCACCCATTGTTCCATCAACTCAGGCTGGGCCTGAGTCACTGTGTTATGTTCTTACTCTCTTTCAGGTGAAGATGAGCCGATCAATGAATCTTTTTAGTGCCCTGGCAGCAATGGCTGGAATCATTCTCCTTGCCTTTGGTTTCATTGTAGATCAAAACTACCTTTGTGGCTTTTCTGGAGAAGTTAGTGAGTGCAAGGCTATTACTGCCCTGTTCATTGTAAGTATGCCGCCTTTTTCGGGTTTAGTCATAAAGGCTTATGGGGCACCCAATCAGCATCATCCAAATAATGTTGCAGACACATGTATTTTTTTTATTCACAAACATTTCCAGAGATCAAAGTACCTGATAGACATTATACCAGACACTGTAGAATAAAAAAATAAACATATTATAACCTCCAACTTTAGGGATTCATAGATAAGTAGAAGAGAGAACACATGTACATCAAAGAGTATAATATAAAAAAAGTGATATACTAAAAGAAAAATACAGGTATAGCAGTATGATAGTAGCTCACAGTCCTAGATGTACATTGGAATCACGAGTGGAGTATTTTTATAGTTTTGGTTTTAATAGTTGCACTGGACTTCTGATAAAACAGGATAGATGGAAAACAGGCATTTATTTCTGCTCTTTCTAAAATCCCACTAAAATTAGTGTAAAGGGATGTAAAAGACATGAATCCACATGAAGAGAAAAAAAATAGCCAGCAAGACCCATTAAAAATTGCTGAGAAAGATGAAAACAAATTGCCTAACTTTCTGAAAAGGGGGTCCTAATAGAAGTAAAATATTTCACATGGCAGCTTCTAAGCAACACTTAGAATACTGACGTACCAGGACAATTGGAAATGGGAGAAGAGAAGAAAATAGAGAGACTGGTTCTGGTAATACTGAAATGGGTTATGTGGATCAACCCTCTTCTGAAAACAAAGGAAAATGCTACATTGAAAAAAAAAAGAGTTTAAACACCTTAAAAGCACTGAAGAGCTGAAAAGTGATCTGGAACTCCTAGATCAAATTTTAGATGAAAGTCTAACTTGAAATCTGTCAATGGAATGTCAGAGAGTAACAAAGCTGTTTGTACCTCACATGCCAAGTACCTCACTTGGGCCACTTGCCAAGGTTGCCCAGTTGGAATCTGACTCCCAGCCTAAGCACAGTGAAGGAAAAAGAAACCAAGATAGGAAGACTTAGAAGAGACATTCCTTGATAGAGTACTAACACTCTTCAGGTAAAGGCGAAAAGACTTACAAAGTACTCTGCCCTATAATAGCAGAGAAAACTTACTGAGTAGAGTGAAAAAGAAGAAAGTCCTTGAGAAGCTGTGGGCACAGACCAGAGCCTCTGACGACATCCTCCCATCCCCCACCCCCCACTGGGATTTTAACCTTTGGTAGACATAAACAGGGTGAGTCAAGAATGCACAAGCCTGAATTTGGACTTGGTATTTGGTGCATCTAGCATCTGACAAAAACCAAACCAAAGGTTATCTGGGAGGAAGAACATCCAATAGTCTCACAAAACTCCTACAAAATTTGGTATCATATTTGATACTACACACTAGATAGATCAGAATGAATCATATTTCATGGAGAAAAATATGGAGATGAGAGGGTAGGGATACGAGACACAGAGTAAAAAGGTCTAACATAAACTTCATTAGAATTATAGACAGAGAGAAGAGAATGACACAGATAAAAAAATGACAGATTTTTAAACCAATGAAAAGCATTAGCCCACATATGCAAGAGGTCCAGTGAATCCCAAATACCTAGAAACTTTACAGTGAAAATATAGAAAACAAAAGACAAAAAAAAATTTAAGCAACCAGTGAAAAATGACATTGTCTTTTTAAAAAAAACGGTAATTAAAATAATGGTTATATTCGGAGAGATAATAATTGGAAGGAAGTATGACAGGGTCCCCCAGGGTGTGGGTCTATCCTTCCATTCAAAATAAACTATCTAAGCTCAGACTATTTTGACATTTTCGAATTCACACCCATGTAATTCTTCACAGATGTATGTGTTTCAAAAACAAGATTGTTGTTTTAGTTTATAAAATCAGACCAGTCCTTACCTGGATGACACTTTGAGTAAATTTATTCTTTGAGACTATAAATGTCTTTCTCTATATTCATCTTTTTGAGACACTGATGAAACTTAGACCTCAGAACATTTGATAAATTTGATCTGTATGGTCAATAGTTTTTCCTGGAATCATTTGCAAGAAGGCTTCTACAAAAAAAGACAGATACAATGTCAAAGTGTTCAACATGTTTTTTAAACTTTTAAAAATTTAAGAATAAGTGTACAGCTTGATGGATTTTCATCAACTAAATACATCTGTTCATCAAGTTACTGTTTTCCCCCACTTTCTGTATTGTAGTCTTTTGAATGAAGTCACTATGCGTAACAAACAGTAGGGAGTTAGGCTCCAGCTCCCTAAAGACAGAGTATCTACCTACATTATTTGAAACTCTTCTAAACTGGGAATTCACCCATTCTTCCTCCACTTACTTATATATTTAGTCATGTATTTATATCAGTATGGAAGTATGGGTATTTATTTTATACTTTGGGTTATAATTTAAAACTATTCGTTTTGGTGTGCAAATTGTTCAGTTTTAGCCACTGGGAACTCTTCAGTTGGCTCCTTTGATTCTTTGGTATATCCCTATATTGTGAGGAGTGGGGGGTGGGGTGTTTGTTTTAGGATTTCCACGCTTTCTGTCACTACAACGTTCGCCAGGCTCCTCTTGTGTATCCCCTGCCTTAGGCCTACAATAAGTAGGCCAGTTCTCCAAGGAGCCCTGGTTCCTTTTGTTGGAGAATGGTATTAGAAACCAAGGTATGGGCAGTAGGTGTACTTTCTGATACTGGAGTGCCATTACTTCTGAGGCCCTCCCAGCTGACAGCAGGAAATAGATGTGTGTGCTAATCCATGTACATACACATGTCTATATATAAATATTTATGTATCCGTCGCCATCTACATTAGTCTGGGCTTGAGTTTCATATTGATGCCTACAACACTAATCCATTACTACATGGATCATTTTAGCCTTCCCCATCGGTTAGCCGTAATCTTCCCCTCCAACAGTGAGAAACCTGACTCCCACCATCCTTTATCCATTTACTTAATTTTTCAATTACTTTATATATGCAGAGTGGTGTCAGATTGTTAAATGATACCTCCATGGGAACCAATTTATGAATAATAAATTATAACTTATCAAGTAGTTAAATATAACATAAATATATTTTATAAGTTATATTTAACTGATAAATCCATGGGAAACAGTGCTTATAGTTAGTTCCTCTGGCTAACTATAATCTTAAAGGCTCCACTGACTTCCAAAGTGCCTTCAGTAAGCACCTTCCTCCACCTCCAATCCTCTTTGGTGAGCTTATTTTATATATTTGTGATGCAATTAGATTACTTCGTCGCAGTCTAATTTACATCCTGGCATTCTTTGATCACCTAAACAATTTTTTTTTAATTTGCATACATTAAGGTTCACTCTTTGCAAAGTAAAAGTTCTTAATTTTTATGAAGCCCAGTTTATTTTTTTTCTTTTCTTGCTTGTGCTTTTGGTGTTGTATCTAAGAAATGATTGCTGAGCCCAAGGTCATGAAGATGTATTCCTATATTTTCTTCTAAGAGTTTTATTGTTTTAGCGCTTATATTTAGCTATATGATCCATCTTAATTTTTGTGTATGGTGTGAGGAAAGGGTCCAGCTTCATTATTTTCCATGTTGTCCAAGCACCATTTGTTGAAAGGATTTTTTAAAATCTATTTTATATTTCTATGGCACACTTGATGAAAACTAATTGAGCATGAAATGCAAGGGAAAATATTCTTCAGAAGTAAAGTTGAAGTAAAACTATCAGACCAACAAAAATTGTAAAAAATTGGCATTGGCAAACCTGCACTAAAAGGGTATGATAAAGGATTTCTTTAAGCAGAGGGAAATGCTGAGATAAACACCAAAGGAAACACAGTACTTCTAGAAGGAATAAAGGGCATTGAAAATGGCAAATTTGAGGACAAAACTAAAAGTATATGGAATGTTTAAAAAGTAGTAATTTTTTGTGATGTTTAGATGACAAAATGGCATACAAGCAGAAAGGGTATAAATAGAATTAAAGTTTTAACATCCTAGCATTGTCTGAGATGTGGTATCCATTGTAAGTTAAATAGGCAGCTGGTAATTTCCACAGTCATCACTTTGAAAAATAATTTTTCATGTAGACTAAGTAAGCTTATACAAATGAAAAATTAGAACAATCAAAAATAATTTTTAAATAGCTTATTAATTCAAATTTGAAAGTAAAGAGAAAAATAACAAATGGGGCATTTAAAAAATAAATAATGAGAAGAGATATTTCAACATAAATATATCAGTAACTACATCAAATGTGAAATACTCCAATTTAAAAAACAGAGGTTGTCGGGCCGGCCGAGTGGCGCGATGGTTAAGAACTGGCTTGGGACGCCAGAGGGCCCCGGTTCGGATCCCACATATGAGGGCCAGTGACACTGCCCTCTACAGCTAAGATGCTGAACAACAGCTCAACCTGGAGCTGGGCTGCCATGAGTCACCGGCGACGGCGTAGGCTGCAGCCCCTGTGGCAGTGGGTTGCCATGGGCTACCGTGTGTAGCCAGCAGCCAGCGTGAGCGGCCAGCAGCCGCAGTGAGCGGCCGTCCAGAAGCCGGCGACTGATCTGCCTCGCCGGGGAAGAGCGCAATGATGGTGCCAACTTGGGCCAGTGAAGCAACGTCCTCCACAGCTAGACTGAAGAACAAAAAATGACAGCAAGTTGTCTGTTCCCCTTCCCCCAATTCCCCAGCACTGTTCCCATCCCCCCAATTCCCCAATAAAAATCTTTAAAAAATAAAATAGAGGTTGTCATAGTGAGTTTAAAAAATAAACTGCATTGTTTACCAGGGGCATCTATCTGTAGCAATAACAAAAAAGTAAACTTAAGGCAAAAAGCCTTGCAGAATAGGGGGACTTTCATAATGATAAAAGGATCAATCTACGAGAAAAATATCACAAATTTAGGTTTGATTGCTCCTTATAACACAGTTCAAAATGTTAAGAGGAAAGCTAACAAAACTTAAAAACATAGGTAGAAAAAGCTAAAATCATCAAAAGAAATTTTAGCACACACCTCTTAGTAACTGAAATAATATGCAGAAAGACAATAAAATTATAGGATTTTGAGAAGGACAATTAAGAAAAATAGATCTAACTGCCATGTAGAGTACACTGCACCAAAGAACTGCAGAATACTATTAACTACTTTTGAACATAATTGATGGAGGCCAGAAGACAATAGAAAGACATCTTTAAAGTGCTCAAATAAAATAATACCAACCTGGAATTCTATGCCTGGTTAAAATGACCTTCAAAAGTGAAGGTGAAATAAAGATGATAACTGACAAACAATAATTGAAAAATTTCACATAGAACATTTTCAACAAAACTATACACTGAGCCGTAGGACAAATCTCAATGAAATTAAAAGGAGTATATATTCTCTGAATACAGAGGAACTGTGTTAGATGTCAGAAAAAAAAACCCCCCAAAAAACAAAGAAAACCTAACAATTCCAAAACACCTTGGATATTCTAAATTGTGCAAGGCTCTAAAAGAATTAAAAATTATTTAAATGATAATGAAATATGCATACCAAATTTTATTGAATGCAACTAATGTATGTTTAGAGAAAACTCTATAGCCTTAAATTGAAATATTGGAAAAGAAGAAATCCTGAAAAATATCTAAATATCCATATCAAGAAAATAAGACATCAGGAGTTAGGGCTTTCTCTTAGTCTGCTCACGCTGCTATAACAAAATACCATAGGTAGTCTTTAAAGATAGTGACATAGTGAAAGCAACAAAGGAACAAGACAAAGAAACAAAAACTGATAAACATAGACAATAGTTTAGTGGTTGGCTACCAGAGCGTAAGGAAGTGGGAAGGAGGGTGGCAGATGAGGTTAAACGAGATCAAATATATGGTGCTGGAAGGAGAACTGATTCTGGGTGGTGAACACACAATGTGATATATAAATGATGTATTAAAGAACTGTACATCTGAAACCAATGTAACTTTACTAACCATTGCCACCCCAAGAAACTTTAATTAAAAGAAAAAGATAGTGACATAGGCTCCTGAACTCCCCTCCTCTCATGAACACACCAAATTTACAGCTATACATGGAACAATTCCCTGTGAAAGAAATCCAAAAACTAGCTGATTGAGTCCTACACACTGGGGAAAAAAAAAACCCCAGTTTGAAACAGGCAGGAAATATAAAATCTGAACAGACTAATTACTAGTAAGGATATTGAATCAGTCAAAAACCTCCCAAGAAAGAAAAGTCTAGGAACAGGTGGTTTCACTGGTGAATTCTACCAAACATTTAAAGAAGAATTAATACCAACCCTTCTCAAACTCTTCCAAAAAATAGAAGTAGAGGTTTCAAATTCATTTTACAAAGTCAACATTATCCTGATACCAAAAACAGACAAGGATAGTACAAAGAAAGAAAACCACAGGCCAATATCCTTGATGAATATAGATGCAAAAAACCCTCAACACAATATTAGCAAACTGAATTCAACAATACATTGAAAGGATAATATACTGTGATCAAGTGAAATTTATTCCAGGATGCAAGGATGGTTTATCATACACAAATCAATAAATGTGATATGCCACATTAACAAAACAAAGGATAAAAATCATATAATCCTCAATACATGCAGAATAAGAATTTGACAAAATTTAGCATCCTTCTATGAAAAAAAAATCAAATTCTCAACACGTTGGGATAGAGGAATGTACCTCGACATAATAAAAGGGATATGACAAGCCCATAGCTAACATTGTAGTCAACAGTGAAAAGCTTTTCCTCTAAGATTAGGAACAAGAAAACGATGCCACTCTGACCATTTCTATTAAACATTGTACTGGAAGTCCTAGCCAGAGCAATTAGGAGACGGATTAACTAATTAATTTAAAAAGTCATCCAAATCAGAAAAGAAGTAAATCTGTCTCTATTTGCAGATGACATGATATCATGTATAGAAAACCCTAAAACTTCTACCAAAAAAAACATTCAAATAAATGAAGTTAGTAAAATTGCAAGATACAAAATCAATATACAAAAATCACTTGCATTTCTATACATTAATAACAAACCATCAGGAAGAAAAATTCAGAAAACAGTCCCATTTACAGTCATGTCAAAAGATAAAATACTTAGGAATAAATTTATTCAAAAAAGTGAAAGATCTCTACACTGAAAACTATAAAACATTGAAGAAAGAAATTGAAGAAAGACATTAATAAATGGAAAGATATTCCCTGCTCATGGTTTGGAAGAATTAATATTGTTAAAATGTCCATACCACCCAAGAGTCATGACTTTTCTGACAACCCAATATATTTACATATAAACTCTGGTATGGTAAAAGAATTGGAAAATATTTTTAAAGCAGATAA